TAAACTCGGTTTAGGCTCTTCGAATAGCTTATCTATCCGTTTAGCCTAAATAAGGCTCCCGCGACTTTTTAGCGATATATTAATAAAACGCTATAACGCTTCCTAAATAACTTTATTACCGTTTATATCGATAATATCCTAATCTACTTTAATAGGAGTTAGGCCGATTATAAGGCGAAAGTAAAGTAAGTACTCCGCGCGCTCGCGGACGCCGGCCTAAACCTAGATCCGTTAAAGTACGAGTTTAGCGTAAAGATAGTAAAGTACCTAGGATTTATAATTACCGCGGGGAAAAGCGTATCTTATAACCTAAAGAAGTTATAAGCTATTGGCGAGTAGGAAGCGCTTATAATAGTTAAGGGCGTATAAAGCTTCCTAGGGATTATAAATTATTACTAAATCTTTATTAAGGATTTTTCGGGGATCTTAGCCTTATTAATAGCACTAACTAAGAAAGACTATACCTTTTAATAGGGTGTTAAGGAAGAAACGGCCTTTCGCGAGCTAAAGACGAGGTTCTAAGAAAGACTAATATTACTATAGTAGGACCTAGTAAATAAGATATTTATCGAGATAGACTATTTAGGGTTTACCCTTAGGGGTAGCCTAATATAAGAAGACACGGACGGAAATCGCTATATAGTCGTATACTATACTTATAAACTTAATAAAGCAGAATATAATTACCTAATCTATAATAAAGAAATACTAGCGATTATAAGATATTTAACGATATAATAGGCTAAGCTTACTAATTATAGGTAGTTTATAGTCCTCTCCGATTATAAGGCCCTTAAATACTTTATAATAAAACGAACGCTTACTAAGCGATAAAGCCGATAAGCTAATAAGCTTATATAATTCGACTTTATACTTAAGTATCGGAAAGGAAAGGATAACACGATAGCGGATACCCTTTTATATCGATAGTAAGATAAGCCCTAAAGTATAATAGACGAATAGGAGTAATCTTATTCTATTTAATTAATTCCCGATACCGCGATTCTACTTAGTATTCGCTATATTAATAGCGGTTAAATAATCTGTAAGACGGACTAAAAGCTATAATAATTATAGGATAAGACGCTTATAACCGATAAATACTATTAAGGAGCCTTATTTACGGTTACCGAAGAAGAATAATAGTTCTTACTATTATTAGAATTAAAGCTATAAATAGCCGAGTACTTAGTCTGTATAACCGGGTTATTACTATTCTACGCCTGAATTTAGGTGCCCGGGTCTATTAAAGGGTTAACGTTATAAGGGAAAATTATCTAGTTAATTCACGACTTAGTAATTAGAGGATACCCCGGATACGAAAATACTATTACCTTAATAGCGTATCGCTTTTTCTAGCTAAGGATAAATAAGGATATCCGATAATTAATCCGGAACTACGATATCTACGGAAAGGGGTATATATAGAGGAACGCGAAATAAGGCCTTTTACGCCCTTTCCTAGTACTAGAATAAATACGGAGCGACTTATCGATAGACTTTATAATAGACTTATTACTAGCTAGTAAGAAAAAAGCGCGCTACTTTTAGGTTATTACAAACCACCTAACTAAAGCTATAATATTAGAAGCGATAAAGATAATAAAAGCCGAAGCTTATACGGAATAATTCCTATACTATTATTTCTGGTTTTATAGAATACCTAGGTCGATTATTAATAACTAAGGTTTAAATTAGATAAGTAGATTCTAGAAGCACTTTTATAAGCTTATACGAATATCGCGTAAGCTTAGTATAGTATACTACCCCTAAACCGATAAAGTAATAGAGCGTATAAACTAAAAGGTATAAGCCTATTTATAAGCTTTTATGTATTACGCCTAAAACGACTAGGATCGCCTATTACCTATAATATAACTAGCCCTAAGTAACTATAAGAGCTTTATAACGGGGTTTAGTCCTTTTTTCTTACAATATAGCTACTATATTAACCTAATCTAGATAACTAAGGAGCCCTTTATAGAACCTAGAGTATTAACGGCCTATAACCTACTACGATACTTATAGGAAATAACCGAGTTCGCCTAAGCCGTAATTATATCGATATAGATCCGGAGTAAGGAGTCTACTAACTAATATCGTATACCGGCTAAGCGTTTTAAGGTTAACGACTTAGTCTAGCTATTATTAGCTAACTACTTAACTCCGCGATTATCCTATAAGCTTAATTAGCTTTATCGTAAATACCGAGTTATAAAGGTAATTAGCCTATATATAGTTAAGCTTACTATACTATTATAAATCTACCCCTAATTCTACGTAGAATTATTACGTCGCGTAGGCGATAACCCTTTTCTAGGATAAGTAGTAGACGACCCTTAACCACCGCCTATTTAAGAGGTAACTAATAATAAAGAATACGAAGTCGAGGAAATCCTTTACGCGAGGATAAAAAGGCGAGGCAGGGGATTAAGAGGCAAGGTACTAGTATAATAGGTAGGATACTATAAGCCTATATAGGAACTGCTAAAACTATTAGCGTAAATATAGGCACTTAATAAGTTTAAAAGAAAATTCGGCTTAATAATAACGAATAATAGCCTATTAAATACCTTTACGCTATTATAATATAGGAGCTAATATATAAATAATCGTATTACGATAATTAGAAAGGAGTAAGAGTTAGATTTAGTTTAGGCCGGATAAGCCCCGCGCCTTAGCCACGCTTAATATAAGCTTAGATTAATATTCTTAACCTTAAAATCGCTATCCTCGGGATTATCGATTTCCGTAAAAATCGTACCCTTATCGCCCCGTTATAGGTTAGAGTCTATCTCCTTAACGTTATTATTATCTTTGTTATCCCTATTATTAGGAATTATAACCGCCTTAGCGATAATTATACTTATAGGCGTAAAAGCCCGCTTACGCTCCGCGTATTATTAGAGTTCGGAAATTATAATATTAACGCGACTAAGTACAAGTATCTCCCTAAATAACCGAGTATACTCCTTTAGCTCTATAAGACTAAAGCGCCTAAAGTCTTTATCCGATAATATTAACCCCGATAAAGGAGTAGGAGTAATAGGATAGGTATTCTTTTCCGCTACGATATCAGGAGGGACTAGGCCCGAAATTATTACCTTACCTACAACCTTATAAGGAGGAGATAAGGCTAGCTATTCCGCCCTAATAATAACCTCCTCCGGAGGCGATATATCTAATCCTAATACTATCTTTTCTATAACCTCTAAAAAGGGAGAAAAGACTAGTATAACTACCTTATTAGCGACCTTTATTACCGGAGGAAGTATAGCTAGTTTAGTTACCTTATTAATAATCTTAGGAAAAGGTAGTAAGGTTAACTATAATACTACCTTTTCCTAGACCTTTTAAGGAGGAGAAAAGGCTGGCGTAATTATTATACCGGGAGCCTGTATAGGATATATAGCTATAGGTAATATCGCTATTATCGCTTCCTTAGCTATAAGAGTATCCTAGAACGCCGTATAGGCGTTAAGATACGGTTCTTACTCCTAGAAAAAGGGTTAGTAATACGGTTATAACCTTAAAGGGGGAGGAGGTCTTATAGGGGCGTTCTTATTATTATTGCTAATAAGGGTAGCCGTCTTAAATAACCTTTATGCATAGCCTTTAAGGTATACTAGGAGAGGAGTATACTAGTATATCTTCGTAGAGTATACCTAGTATTTCTTCCCCTGACTAGTCTAGTTATAATACAGGCGCTTATATTTCTTATCGGCGATATCACGCGTATAAAAGAGGCACGGCTTAGTATAAACGCTACTAAGAGGGTGCTTAGGAGGCTAATTACCCCCTAACTTCTTTTTCTTAGTTAGAGGCGGCGGTAATAACTCGAATTATTATATAATTAGTATCGACTTAAAGTATAAGAGTATTATACCTATATTATTATTAGTAATACGCTTATTACTATTATTACCCCTATTATCGTAGGGGGCTAGCGTTATCTATAAACGCTATAAGTTAGCGGGGTTACCTTAAAAAAGGATCGTGATAAAGAGATAGCTTACCTTAGATAGGGAACTCTTAAACTATATAAGTATTAATAAGAGAAGTCTACGATTAAGGGAGTTAAAGGAATCGTCGCTATAAGGAGACATAAGTATATATAGAATAGCTATAGCTATTATTATTATTATTATAGTTACAGGGGAGGAGAGAGGAAAAGGGGGCCTATAAGAAAAAACGGGTATTATATATTTATAGATAGGAGCTACGCGAGGGAGCCTATATTACTATTTCGGGTATATAAATAAAGGGTTAGTAGGCGACCTAAGATTTCTTTAATATTAAGGTAAAGGTAAGGTAAGATAAAGGGACACGACTATTCCTTTATTACCGCGATATAAGGGGGAGCCGAGCTATAATAAGGACGCGCGGTTATATAGCCCCTAGAGGGAGAGGGGGGGGGGGTAGTATTACGGGTTAACCCCGATATAAAGGATCCGGCTATACTCCGGATCCTCCTAACTACACGCTTAGTTAATAGATCTATATCACCTAGTTATTGCTATCTTATAGCTAGCCTAGCACTATAGACTTTTCTCCTTTTCCTTCTTCCTTCCTTAGTTCTAGATAATCTATTATTACGACCTTACTTAGTGCCACGACCTATAACTAGTCGTTTAATAATAATAATAATAATAATAATAATAATAATAATAATAATAATAATAATAATAATAATAATAATAATAATAATAATAATAATAATAAATTTATCTAAGTAAAGTTTGTAGTACTTTACGGGGATATCTAACTATATTAAAAAAGTAAGGGGAAATAAGTCTAGATATATAGGATTAAAAGTACTCTATAAGTTTTATATAATATAGCTTATCACACCTTGATAAGGTGGCTAAGGGCATCGGATAACTTGATTATATTATAAAGTACGTAATCACGGTACGTACTCCTTGGCAGCTTACCTACCTCCTTCCCTATATCAGACCTTGCCTTCTTTCCTACGAATCGGTAGCTCGTTGTCTTTCCATCGATTCTTCATCGCCACTGGGTTTAAGTATAACCCATAGTCTCCGACCTTGCGCGACGTCGCCTCACACCACGATGCCAGCCAAACGGAAAGCCGCAGGCACAGTGACTGGCGCGGCAAAAGCAGGCAAAGGCTCGAAGGTGTCGACTCCCGCTGGAGTCGCTACTCCAAGGAGTATTGGTAGTGACAATGAATCCTCCGTAGCGGACGCAGCCAGCGAAGTCGAGGATGAGACGATCGAAAAGAACATCAACAAATTCACTGTTGACTCGTATGAACGTGCCGCACCGCTGGCGAAGACCCCGACATCGTACATCTTTGGGAAGCGAGATTACTCTTACCTGCAGCTCAAGCCGGATTACCAAAATCGCCCCCTGTGGATTGACTCTGGAAAGGCGAGGATTTTTCTCGAGAGTTTCAGTCCGCTCGCGCAGCAAGCGCAGGACTTTCTCATCACAATTGCAGAACCCGTGTCACGCCCATCGTTCGTCCACGAATATGCGCTCTCGCCACACAGTCTATATGCGGCCGTTTCGGTTGGGCTGTCGCCTGACGACATCATCAATACCCTCGAGCGCTTTCTCAAGACGCCACTTCCGAAGCAAATTCGCGGCTTCATCGAAAGCTGTACAGCAAGCTTTGGCAAGGTCAAGCTGGTCCTGAAGAACACCAAGTATTTCGTCGAGAGCGCGGACCCCGTTGTGCTGCAAAAGCTCCTGAAGGATCCCATTATTGGCCCTCTTCGCACGCAAGGTACCGCCGAAATTACCACGACAGCGGCACCTAAGCAAGCACCGCTTGTCATACCCGGAACAACGAATGCAGCTGGTGTGCGGCAGGCTGCACAGCAAAACGACACGGGGAAAGATGGCGAGAACATCGCCGAGGACCAGGTATACGCCACGCTGAACGACGACGACGACGAAGATGCGGAAGTGACACACTCTTTCGAAATACCGGATTCCGCCGTCGAGGTTGTGCAGAAGAGATGTCTTGACCTCCAGTACCCCGTGCTTGAGGAGTACGATTTCCGGAAGGACGAGTTTAACGCAAACTTGGAAATAGACCTACGGCCAGGAACTCAAATTCGCCCGTATCAGGAGAAGAGTCTCAGCAAGATGTTCGGAAACGGTCGAGCGAAAAGTGGCATCATCGTCTTGCCATGTGGTGCTGGAAAGACTTTGGTCGGGATCACCGCAGCCTGCACCGTGAAGAAGGGCGTGATAGTACTCTGTACAAGCTCCATGTCCGTCGTACAATGGCGGAACGAGTTCCTGAAGTGGTCGAACATCAAGCCGGAGGATGTCGAGGCCTTCACTTCGGAATCCAAGGGTCGGGTTTTCTCGGGTGCTACAGGAATCATCGTGACCACATATTCGATGGTGACCCAAACTAGGGAGAGGTCGCACGATGCCAAAAAGATGATGGACTTTCTCCAGCAGAGAGAATGGGGCCTCATGCTGTTGGACGAAGTCCACGTTGTACCCGCCAATATTTTCAGAAAGGTCACGTCGTCCATCAAAACGCACTCGAAGCTCGGTCTCACGGCCACACTTCTCAGAGAAGACGACAGGATTTCAGATCTCAACTTTCTGATCGGACCCAAATTGTACGAGGCGAACTGGATGGAGCTTTCACAACAGGGACACATCGCCAGAGTACAGTGCGCAGAGGTGTGGTGCCCCATGCCTACCGAATTTTACGATGAATATCTCAAGGCTCCGGCGCGGAAACGGGCGTTGCTGTATATCATGAATCCGTCCAAGTTCCAGGCGTGCCAATATCTTATCAACTATCACGAATCAAGGGGGGACAAGATCATTGTTTTCTCCGACAATGTATACGCACTGAAATCGTATGCCTTGAAGCTGGGCAAGGTGTTCATCTACGGCGAAACGGGACAAGCAGAGCGGCTGAAGGTATTGGAGAATTTCCAACACAACCCGCAGGTCAATACCCTCTTCCTGTCCAAAATCGGCGATACGTCCCTTGACCTGCCGGAAGCCACTTGCCTCATTCAGATCTCCTCGCATTACGGTTCACGTCGGCAGGAAGCCCAGCGGTTAGGGCGGATCCTCCGGGCCAAGAGAAGGAATGATGAGGGCTTCAATGCCTTTTTCTACTCACTGGTTTCCAAGGACACGTCGGAGATGTATTACTCTTCAAAGCGGCAGGCATTCCTCGTGGACCAGGGCTATGCATTTAAGGTCATCACGTCTCTCAACAACATTGACAAGACTGAAAACCTGGCATTCGCTACAGCCGCCGAGAGGAGGGAGCTGCTCCAGAAGGTGTTGGTTGAAAACGAAAGCGTGAACGACGAGGAAGTGGTAGACGATCTCTTCCACTCGGGTACGATGGGCCGACGACCAAAGAAGAAGGCGAAGAGAACGGCGGGTATGCTCGGCGACCTGTCTGGCGGGCAGGACATGGCGTATATCGAGCAAAACAAGAAGACCAAGTTGAAGAAGGGAGACAGTAATGCCTTCTTCCGGAAACTGCACCGACAGGCAGCCAAAAAGTGAGCGCAACATATTGCTTTGGTATTTGGGTAGCATCGATCAGGAGGGATCTGGCGAAGGCGAGGCGTTCTTGGCTTGGTTAAAGGTCTCGTTCTTTGCTGTGGATTTGAATGGGGGCATAAGGGCGGGCGTTGCTGCATCTTACGAGTCGACTGGGAAATGGCTTGCTTTAGAGGGACAGGAATATCCAACACAGAGAGAGCGCCGGAATAGAAAACGGCACCAGACTGAGCAGAGAGATAGAATACACTTCATAAACTGCAACACTACCAAGATTATGGTGCATGGGCCAGTCGTCCTTCCATGCTCTGCAACACTCAACGCGTGTCATTCTCTCCCACAGCTAAGTCCTCAATGCATCCTTTTAATGATCCATGGCTCCTCGAAGCCTCGAACGCTCATGGATTACGGATAGACAGCTCGCAAGGGAGTGGTGATTCCGACATGTGGGGCATATTCGTAGTTCACTGCACCCCGCAATAACTACAGTGCAGCGTCCCAACTATCCGGTATCCGGGATGTTGATTTCTGTTCGAAGCACCCAGGGTCTGATGCCGACCTCGAAACCCGGCTCTCTAATTTCCAGGTTGTTTGTTCCTCCTTTAAGACGGACTTGGGAGTTCCCCATATCTTATGTACCCTCCTCCTGTTTCATTTGGCAGGAGACAGACAGGCAGCTGAGTAACATCCTCCGTACCTATGGAGAAAGGAAAGTCCGCGAGGGGACTTCAGAGGTACCAATTCCACCATATAAAAACGGAGAAAAGGTCAAATATATCGAGGCGTCTGGATGGGTTGTGTGTTAGCAAAGATTGTCGTCGAGTACCTGACACGATAACATTTCTAACCTTGAACCTGAACCCCACTATCCTGCAGAGGTGAATTTCCGTACAAGGTATCCATAACACTTCGTAAGTACCTTAGGCCCCGTTCGACAATTTCAACAACTATTAACGATTTTCCAGTTTTATTATACAAGTGATAAACGCAGCTAAGACGCTAATTTAACGCCGGCTCTTAGCCTTAATATAGCTTTTTATATAGTTTATAAAGTCGTTATATCGGGGAAATATCGAAGCGATCTGGAATACTGGGTTAAGTCTTTTAAATATAAAGTCGTTATTCTTTTACTACTATAGATTATCATCGTGACTCCTACATATATCTATATAACGGGATTAGGTTCTATTAGCGTGGAGTAAGTTATAGCAGGGTCTATAGATGATATACCTGACCCTGGCTCCGGGGATATCGAGCCGTAGATATAAGATATCGACTAGGAGCCTACCTAAAATACCACCTAAGGGCAGAATACTATCGATTCCGACCCCTCTAGCGACGACGAGGTATCCGAAAACGACGTAAATACGCAGAAAACCACCTTACTAGACCGCCCGGCGTCCTAAACCAATATCTCCTTATCCGGTAAATACTCTACGCGGGTAGCCTAGAGCGATACTATCGAATATAATCTCTTCGAATGTATAGTTATTACGCGTCGCGATAATACCCTATTTACGACTAGTAATAAGAGGTTAGCTAGGACGCTAGCCTTAAGTAGATTCTTACCTAAGATATAAGAGGTATTTCTTATAGCTAATCTAATAGTTAAGACGATAATATTAAAGCTCGATAATAAGGAAAAAGAGCTATAAGCGGTCCTTACGCTTATCGGTAAGTCCGGTATAAATAACTACGACGATAAAACCAGTATAGTAAAGGTGACCGCGGAATAGTAGGATATCTTCGAGGCTAAATACGGCGAGGTTAGAAGACGTATTTGTAGAAAGGGTAGCGTATATTAGGTGGATAGCCTCTTAAAGCAGGTTTGCCTAATACTATCGCTATAGGCTAGAATATTACCGATATACACGAGCTAGATTAACGTAAACATTAGTTAATAATGCTATTAATAGCTATACTGCTAGCTTATAAGCGTAGTCGAAAGTAATAATAGGATTCTAATAATACTAGCAGTAAAGGCTTACCTATCCCTTGTAACGACCTTTTAGATAACGCTCTATAGCGGTATCGTAGGAAGGAAGCTAACGATCCTTTAATAACCGGATTAATTACGTTAGCGGTACGCTAAAATAAGCCTATCCTTATATAGGCGATTACCGCTTACGATAAGGAATTTAGCGACGAATTAGGTGGTACTAATAGCGTTATTACGGTGGCAGAGTTCCTGACTTAAAATCCTAATAAGGTAACGCTATTTAACGCGGTGAAAGTCGATAGAAAAAGGGCGTCTTTAAAGAGGTATAGGTTTATAAAAGAAAGGAATACTACGCATGGAAGTGGTAATAGTGGTGATAGTGGTGATAGTGGTAATAGCGTTAAGGGCAGGCGTAGGGCTAGGGTGGATCTAGATTCTAACTAAGCCTTATTTTCCGTGGATTTAATTAGCTAGGAGTGTTTACCCCCTACCCGAAGAGGACTAGTTCGGGGTAGAGCTTTATCTTATCTGCTCCTTCCGCTACCGTAATAATCTATACAGTACTTAAAAGTATTTTAATCCTTTTTACTTTAATAATAATAAACCTATATAACTACTACTGCTATTCTGTTATCTTAGATATCTAGTATCGTATCTCTAATCCTCCATTATTACCGATATTATAGTTAGCACGCTTTACGGCTAGCTATAATAATCTCTTCTCCTCTTTAAATTCCTTATTAATAACCGTGGTTTAGTTACGTATAGCTCTAACGAAGTTCTAGATCCTAGTTACCGCGTATACGATTTCTACCTGCTTTTCGAAGCTATATTTAGGTACCTTCCTACTAAGGATACGGAAAGACCTCTTTAATATACTAAAAACACGTTTAACAGCACTATGGTAACCTGCGTGGAGGCGGTTAAACCGCTCCTTTAAGGATAACTGCCTCTACTCTATTTTAGAGAAATCTTAAAGGTAGTACCTCTCGCTATCGAATAGGGTTATAATACCTTTAATATCGCTGCCGAACCCACTATTTATAAGGTAGAACCTTCTATTAGGTACGTGAAAAGACCCTCCCACGAAAGCCTCTCGAAGTAAGGAAGAGTCGTTTATACTACCCTTAGCACCTATTATAATATAGGTGAATAAGAGGTTAAAATTGACTACCGCGAGGATATTTTAGGTAAGTTACCCATTTCGGTTAAAGAACCGCTATTATTCCTTAAGTAGTATCTACGCCGCGATATATATACCGTCGATTACCCCGATATAGCCGTTAAACTAATTATTCCGTTAAGATAGTTTAATATATCGCGAGATATATCCCTATAGTGGGTTTTTCACGTATTTAATATAAAGCTAACATATTATACCTAGGACCTTATCGAAGATACGCGATCCGGTGTTTAGGGATATCTTAAAGCGGTGGTATATATTATATAGGGATACGCCGTGACCGATAATATAAAGGAAGAGTATAACCTTCTACGTTATCGTATAGTAAGTCGTCTCTCTAACTATACTATTTAATACGATCTATCCTATTAGGCGATAGAATTTATTCTGACTTAATCTGAATAAGTCCCGAAATACTATATCGGAACCGATAAATAACCCCCTTATAGTATCTAATATTATAGCTGGATAATTCCCGTATGAATACCGAGAGGTATTTTTACGCCTCCAGAGGCGTTAAGTGACTTCAGGTCATTACAGGATTAATACCAGAACTATAAGATCGAGTTTAGGGGTACGACTATTATCGTGGGTAGTAATAGCCTCGCCTATAACGGCGCGGCTAATAGTGGATCCTATCTTATTAAAGATTTTAAATAGTTATTACGTTTAAAAGCTTTAATAAGTACTTCATATAAAAAGCGGCCGTTTTTTAGAAAAATGTTAATAAAAGGATCCCTGCCTAGCGTGGTACTTCGATAATAGGGGGATAGTAGAGGGATATATAAAAAATACAGTTACACTAAAAGTATTATACAAAAGGGGTCCTTATATCATGGGTGCGTCATGAGTTATGCATTTTTTGGATATTTTGACAAAATTTCAATAGTTATTAAGATTGTCGAACAGGGCCTTACATAGGTATCGTCTCTTAAGGCAGGGAATGTCAGATAAAGCGTAGTCAAAATCGTCACAAAATAGGTCAAAATTGATTGAGGCAATTATGTATAATTTTTATAACTCTCACAGACCGTCAGGGAAACGCTATTACCGTATTTTATATAATACAGATTCTGTAAGCGTCCGCCCGGATTATACTCTTAGTAATCCGGCCTATTACGTAACCGAAAAGACTATAGTCTATTCGATACACCCCCTAATCGCCCTAAACGTTAGTTAGGCGATTAAAGCTATTCGTAATCGGCAGATAAAATCAGCTATATAATCTATTCGTTGTAGCCGCCTATAAATTCATCCTCTAGGTCCTCTAAATATTCTATCCGGACTTCCTCTAGCTATTTCTGCTATAACCGTTCCCGTATATCCATCACGCCCACCTAGGACCTGAATATCTTAAATTTCTCGCCGCATAACGCCTTCGTTAATCCGTCTACTATTATTTCCGCACTCGTAACGTACGTTACGAGTATTTACCCTTATTCTTTTACTTAGCGTAATTAGTGGCCGTGGATATTAACGTGGCGGAGGCGCGTTATTAACGTGCTAATCGCTTAATTAACTAATCGAATCGTTTAGTTATTATCGTATAAGATCCTTAATTCCAGATCGTTAAATTCCACTCCTATACTAAGTAATAGGCGTTATATAAAGATACCCTCTTTTATACCTTATACTAACGCTAATAGCTCTGCTTCCGTTATTAAAATTATAACCGTATCCTGCTTATTAGCGCGCCACGCGATTATACCGCTAAATAAGCGTATTATATACGCTTAAGTACTCTTTCTATTAAGAGTATTATCGGTAAATAAAGCGTTAGTATAGATTTCGATAGTAGTATTACCCCTTAATTCTAATATAAATAATTAGCTATTAATTAGATAAAGGATTAGATAATCGGCGGCCTTATAGTGAATAGGCCCTAGATTAACGTTAAACTAGTATAGCCTGGATACTATAAACGCGATATTAGGCCGCGATATCACTACTATATATAGTATAGATCCTATCTTCCGTTAATAGCTTTTAACGTTAGTTAAGGTCCTTAAATAGGGTAGTAGCTCTATAACCTTAATTAGGTGCGTTAGGCGATAATTACTAGTATACTTACTATTCGGCTTTAATAAGCGTTCTAACTTAGTAACGTAGTCGTGTTATAATAGCTAGATTTTACGGGCGACACGGTCG